AAGTTGCCATCAGGGAACAAATCACTGATTTTTTCCAGTTTCTTGTATTTCAACTTTGGTGGTGAGTTTCTGTTTAGCTTTAGGGGGGAAAAAGCAAACTTTCATGGGTTCTCTTTAGCCAGCATTATCAGAAATGAGTAGTGTTCAAAAGCTGCTTTTGTTAATGAAAAGAAAGTAACTTCCTAAGCACTTATTTTGAGACTGGTTTTCCTCATCTTTTGGTAAATGTGATGAGTTGCCAAGTTCTCCTTTAGGCTACTTTGGAGCTCTAAAACTAGGGAATCTGAAAGCCAGGTTTTTCGTTTTATCTGTTTTCCTTAGCTCTAACACTAGGAATCTGAAAGCTGGTTATTTTAATTTTACATGTTTTCCTTTCAGTCTCTATTGATAAACATCCTAGTCTCCTAAAAGACTTTGGTTGCTACTTTTTTGCAGTGAAGAGAAGAGGATTGTTCTAAACTTGAAGAGTAGACTTGAGTTAGTATTGCTTGAGTTGTGCATAATACATTACCTTGGGAAATCTCTTATTCCTTATACCTCACCTGTATGTGCATGAAAAAAAGGGAGACAGAAAGAGATAGAGACAGAGACAGATCGAGACCATTGGATTGGTTCTTTCAGTGATAGTTTATTTCTAGAGTTATCCTGAAGACACTCAAAGAAAATGCAAAGTGCTTAAAGAATAGTATATTGTTTGAATATTTTAATTTGACGATTTATTTCCATTTTAATTAAGGCAAGTAGGGTTAGTTTACTAGAATTAATTCCAGTGACAGTGTTAGTAATGGTTTCTTTTAGCAATAAGCAATTCTTAGGACACTTTTTTAAAAAAGAATTTATCAAGATGAGCTTTAATCAACTATTAAAAAAACTGAATTTAAATGCTGAGTTAAACTTAGTTGAGTTTAATTAGATTTAAAAAGTTGACTGGGAATTCATCCAAAATGTGTTCATCAAAAAAAAAGTTATATGAAAGTAGAGGAAAGATAAAGGATTAACAAAATTAATTCTAAACCTCTTGAACTGGAAAAAACTGACTAAAGATAGAAATCCTGAAGATAAAAAGATTTTTTTCCTTAAAGAGAGTTCAATGCCGTATGTCTGTCACTACATGTTCCTTTCAGATATGTGCTTGTCCACACTAACAAATTACTAAGGATAATGGAAAATAAAAATTCCTGAAAGACTCAAAACTACTAAAGATACTGTATCATTGAAAATCACCCTAAGACTATTTTCCCAGCCTCAAACTTTCAATTCACTGAAAGATTTTTAATGACTTGTGAATATACTGAAACATAGTCTCATGTAGGAATGAAATATTTGACATGTAAATTAAACAAATTCACTTTAGAAAAAGTAATGAAGCTATATAAACTTAGGACTACTCAAATAATGTGGATTACAAAATGAAAAGCTAATGCCGTTGGTGACTTTAGTAATGTGTTCCGCTAAACTCATTACTGAAAAATAAACGCTAAACTCTTACATGGGTGGATATCTGTCCTCAACAGAAGGCTTTAAACATGGTTAGGCTCAATTAGTGCTTGTGGAACAAATAAATATGACTGGATTCAGGTAAATCTAAGATTGTTCATTGTTTGCTACATATTTTTCCTGATTGTCTTTGTTAGTTATGCTTGATTTAAATTGTAACAGATCAAATGATAGCAATTGTATATATTTACAGGCGAGTCTGTGCAAATAAGTACTTTCAAATGTTCTCTGAAACTTGACATCTATATTGTTTGGAAACTTTTAAAAAAGCAAAGAGGTTAATTTGTTCATATAATAAAAATTTTCCAATGGGAATGGATCCAGCTTCTCAAACGACATCCAGAATTTCTCCTGCTATCCCCACCTCTTTCCCTCTATTTCACAACTTCACTGCTTTCTGTGCTGGTTTTATTCTTAAACAAATATGGTGGCAAAGATGGAACCAATCAGCAGTCCCCTCTCCCCCACAAGCAGAATGAGATCGTTCTTTAACAATAAAAGCTAGCTTTTTATTATCCCTATCTGTGATCCATATATGAATGTCATGGTGTGGTAATGGTATAGCATATACCACAGGTATATTTGTTTCCTGTGGCTGCCATAACAAATTAGCATAAACTGGTTGGCCTAAAACATGACAAACATGTTCTTTCATGTTTCTGGGAGCCAGTTATTCAAAACCATGGTATCCAAAGTTCTGTGCTCTTCCAGAGTCTCTTTGTATAATTCTACATCCTATTGGTTTCTGGGTAGCTTCAGGCACTTAATGGTTTGTGGCTTCACCATCCCCATTTCTACTCCTATGACTATGTTGCCTCCTTGTTTATCTGTGAGTCTCTGTGTGTCAATGTCAAATTTCCATCTGCTTCATTTTATAAGGACACACACGATTGCATTTAGTGTCCATTGGGATAATCCAGGATGATCTCATCTCAAGATCTTTAGCTTAATTATAGCTACAAAGACCATTTTTCCAAATAAGGTTATAATGGTAAATTTCAGGGATTCAGTTGTAAACACATCTTTTTTTTGGGGGGTGGGGGTGCTGTTCACCATTAAACTTACTGTAGCTGAGCCAAAGGTAAGGTTCAACAGGAAAGCACTTCCCTTGCATACGAGAATGCCTGGGCGCTATGAGGAACAAAACTAAACACTACAGCTGGTAAGAGTCTATCAACCTCCCTGGCCAAAAAGAAAGGACTATAAAGCCCAATCTACAGCATTTGCCTGGTCTTCTAATACAAATACTATCACCATAGCCAATTTAGTGTCTAAAGAAAGTCAATGAACATGGAGCTGGAATGAGTGACACATTTGTATGTGCATCTGCCGAACCAACCAATGAAAGTAACCTCAAGATCTTAGATTCAGGGTCAGAGGGATTGTAGAGGAATTTAGGCCCTGGCTTTGCATGTATCTGATCCCAGCTCAAGCCACGCCCCTCATCCACCCCCTACACACAAAACAAACTCTAAATAAAAGTGGAATGTATTCAAATAATTAGTAACTAATAAGATTTTAATGCCTATTAACTTCATTTTAAACATAACTTAATTGTGAATTGACACATTTTGAATTTTAATAGTGATCATGTTTGACAACTGGATTACAGAATTCCTGAAAGAGGACCAATTGATTCAGATAAACTACATGTGTCAGATCTAACATGCCAGGACAAAATTTATAGATTGATCAAGTGTCATCGAGTCTAAGGAAAAAGGTCAGGAGTATTCAAACCACATGGACAAAAAATAGAGTGATGGTTCCTTAGGAGAAATTTGGGGTGCTCTTACTGAAGTATGTGGGAAGGAACATGGGGAAGACAAAAACAACTAGTTCACTTCAGTATAATTTTTTAAACATATTTTAATGATTTCAGGCTCAAGAAATTTTTCTGCAGAGTTCAGAATGGTTACAGGTACAACTACTATGCCTCTTCATGGATCTGCAAATCATTCTCTCCTAGGGAAATTAACTATATTCTCTTAGCTTATAAAATCTGTTTTTAAGTCTCTACACATGAATACGAAGGTAATCAGCTTCAGAAAAAGCAACATAAACCAAATGTATTTTTTAAGTTTTATTTTTTTAACTTAACAGCTTTGTTGAGATATAATCTCCATGTCATGTAACTCACCCATTAAAAACTGCACAATTCGATGATTTTGGCACATTCGTAGTTTTTCACTATAATTAATTTTAGAATGCTTTAATTACACCAAAAAGAAACTATTCCTCTATACTATTGCTCTCATTCTGACCTCCAGCCAAAGGCAACCACTAGTTGATTCTCTATTTCTGTAGTTTTGCCCATAATAGAAAATTCATATAATTGATTCATACTATACATGTTCCCTTCACTATCAGCTGCTTTTAGTTAGCATAACATTTTGAAGTTCATAATGTTGTAGCTGGCATCAATATGTCCTTCTTCTATATTGCCAGCAAGTATTCCCATTTTATGGCTGCACCACATATTGTTTATCTTTTCATTTATTGATAAGCACTCTGATCACTTCACCCTATTTAGCTACTATGAATAACGCTGCTGTGAACATTTGTGTAAAAGTTTTTATGTAGACAGTTTTCATTTCTCTTCAAACAGTCTTGAGGACAGAGCGATAGTACAGGGGTTAAGGTACTTTACTTCCATCCATCCCACCAACCTTAGTTCAATACCCAGAAGCATATATTGGGCCCCAAGCTCAGCCAGAGTAACTCCTGAGCACAGAGTCAGGAATAGCTCCTGGGTATAGGCAAGTGTAGCCTAAACACTCCTCCCACCCACCCCCCAAATAACTTTTAAAAAATCTTATTATTTGGGTCGGAGCTATAGCAGGTAAGGCCCTTGCCCCCCAGCACCCTATATGGTCCCCTGACCACTACCAGGAGTGACCCCTGAGTACAGAGCCAAAGGTAAACCCTGTGAACACTCAGTGTGATCCTCAAAAAAAAAGTTTTGTTTTTAACTAATAATCTTTTAAGTTAAATATTTTCACAATACTTCTCATTTTCTACATCTTTAGAAAGCTGTCATTTTGAAATTAAATGACATTTCTGAGAAAAATTAGGAATGACATATATTGAATTTCAAACTTCTTGAACATTGAATCTTTAACGCAACCTCTTAAGAACTGGTGGAGTCCAAAAGAGAAGTCCTGCTTACCAATTCCAGGAACAAGGAGGGTACTGTTTACCAGAAGGAATAGCCAATTTTGGCTATAAATGTTCACAAATGTTCACATAGATCATTGGACTGGTGTGATTCAATTCCCTCTGCACAGCCTACATTCTTGTCTCGCCCACAATAGACTCACAATAATTAGTCCATTTCAACGTGTCTTCAAGAACTCTTCATGTGCAAAGCATAATAAATTTTGAAAAATAAAGTGTTACTCTCTGACCTATAAATCCATTTTAGGGTTTGTGGAAACGTGCAGAAAAGGGGAACTTTTTCAGCTTTCCTGATAGAGCGTTTCATTTTTTTTCTCCCTTGTATGACCTGAGACGGGAAGGGAGGGCGGGGAGGAGTTCCTCTGTGCATCAGGAGATCTGCGAAAGGGGGAAAAAAAACAGCGTTACTTTATATAACAACTTGCTTCCCAAAAATTCAGATTTTCTCAGTATTCCACTCATAGCCCTGAGGGAGTTGGCATGAGCGTGTAAAAGAAACAACTTCTCTTAAAATTTACACTCTCTAGTTAGCCAGTAAGCGGCTGAAATAGAACTAGTAGAGAAGCCCTCTTGACCAAACATTCTGCTATAATGTTTCGAGTGACCATCTATAAATCAACGCATGGCTTTAAAAATAGTATCTTGACATAATCTCCCCCGTCTCTACTCACTGATGACCTTTCATCTGGGGTAAACACTTTCCTCCCAAGTTCAAATCCAATAATACGCCACAAGGTTTACTCATATGCTCACAATGAAGTGCCTGGGTTTTCCCAGACCCTAAAACAGATAGTCCTGCTTTCCTTTTAGCCCTGCTTATGAAACCCAGCCAAGAACCACTCAGGAATTACGGGACAGGCTCAGTACAAAAGAGAAAGAGTTTTACTCTCAAACTCCAGACAGCGGGGCTAGAGCAGTAGTACAGCAGATAGGGCGTTTGCCTTGCACACGGTTGACCCAGGTTTGATTCCCAGCATCCCATATGATCCCCCAGCACCTGCAGGAGTAATTCCTGAGTATCACCAGGTGTGACTCAAACAATTAAAAAAACAAAAAACAAACAAACAAAGCCAAAATCAAACTCCAGGGAGCAATGGACTTGAGCAATGCCTGCCTCTCTCTCACACCTGATTTTTTTTTTGCTTTTTTGGGGGTCACACCTGGCGATTCTCAGGGGTTACTCCTGGCTTTGCACTCAGGAATCACTCCTGGCAGTGCTCAGGGGACCATATGGGATGCTGGGGATGGAACCCGGGTTGGCCACATGCAAGGCAAACGCCCTACCCACTGGGCTATCACTCCAGCCCCTCTCACACCTGATTACATCTCTATGTTCCTTGTAAGGATGCTCTGTCCTTGAGGTACTACTCGTCACATGGCAGGGAGACATCCTCAGCTCCATGGACGAAGGAGTCAGGATAAGGTGTTGAGAGCTCTTGATCAGATATCCTGAATCCCACCCTGTAGCCCAAACAGTCCCTCCTGTTGGGCTTTTCCTCTCATGTCCCATTGTCCATCCATCTGGAAGGTAGAATCATTTTAATTAGGATCACAATGACTCACAGTATCTCAGGAAATGATACCTGAAGAAAATATGTTGATCGCTCTCTTCCTACTCCCAGAAAACCTCAGGATTCTCGGGGAGCAGAAATTCCCAGGGATTCTCAGGGAAAGGGAAGTCAATGAAGTTAATCACAAAGCTTCATACCCACATCCCCTTCGGCATCCAGCCATAAACATATTTTGTGTCAGTCCTCTTATTCCTCTCCTCACCTCTATGTTATTGAAATCTGTGTTAGCCATAACACTGACCACACGCCTAGTTTATGGGCCTGGTGCAATACATTAATGGAGATTGTACAAAGCTTAAGACTTTCGAGATGGCAATAGCCACACATTCAACCAGGCACAGAGGCGCTTCATAATGCTGAGTCCCAGTTGTTCACTGCTGCCAACACTAAAAAAGTAATGATTCTTACCACTTCTTAAAAACAAAATAAGCAAACAAGAACCCACCAGTTCAAGTCCGGACCGACCCCTGCTTCCTGGCCCCCAGATAGAGCACAGTGTTGGCTGATGCCAAGTTGCAACTTGTCTTAGTTTGCTCACTCTACCAGAGCTCAGGTCCACACAGAAAGTGGTTCGAATAACAGAGATTTGTTTCCCCACCTTTCTGGAGACTAGAGAATATCAACAGATTGCTTTTTCTCAGGCTTCTCTCCCTGGCTTGCTTTTTTCATTCTCTTCCTGCTGTCTCTCAGACTTTCCTCTATATCTGCCTGGATTCTGATGTCTTTTTCACAAAAGAACTTTCCCCAGGTCTTTTATGAAGGGTTGGATCAGGACCTATCCTAATGACAACCTTTAACAGAACCACTTTAAAGATCATCTCTCCAAATGCTGCCAAAGCAAATTCTGATGAGCTGGCATTTCCCTATGTGCATTTTAGAGGGACGCAATAGAATTCAGCCCATAACAGAGTTCTCTTTGAAGGTGGGACATTATTCAGGTCCTGGCATTAGCTCTGGCCCCTAACAATTGTCTGGATCCATGTTATTTGTGTAGCAACTCCTCTTCCTCCTGGTTTACAGCCATCTTGGAGAAGGAAGACCTTTCGCCAGGAGCTTATGGAATAGAGACCTCATCACTGGAATGGGACAGTAGCAGCACACGCCCTGTACATCTGCATAGCTAAGGCTGCTACTCAAGTGATCCTGCACAGAATTTTCTTTGCTTTGTGGTTTGATCATTTATCAATAGTTAAGGTAACAGTGTCACAATAGTATTAAAGTTTAAGGTATTGATTTCAAAAAGATCTGATACAGAAATTAAAGTTATTGATGTTAAAATCATGGTATTGATATACTGCTCCCCCCTGCTGCCAAAGTGTTCCTAAAAAAAACTTATAAAAATTTAAAATGTAGCCACTCCATAGAGATAAGAGTTCAACTGCAGTGCAGAAAGAAGGAATTGCAGCAAGTTAGAACTAACAGTTCATCTTAGAGACTAGACTTAGAAGATTTAGGAGAGGAAACTCCTCAGTTACTACATAATTCTTTCCTGGGATGAATCCTCCTTAAAATCACCTGATCATAAGAAGGGACAGCCCTAAATTTCAATGAAAACCCAACCATATAGCCCCTTAGAGGGAGCATACTTCTAAATTGGTCTTTGTACCTATTTGTAGAAATGTTAGCCAGAGTATAGCTGAAAATTCTGCTAATTCTAGGGAAGTTTTTGGTCTAGTGCCTGGAACTATTGGAGCATACATTCACACCTACCACATATAACACTTAGTGGCATAATTTCCAGCACAACACTTTAGTACTTTATTTTTAAAAGAAACAGCAAAGACTGACGACCTGTTTAGTGATGCTTCTTGCAGGAGACTGTGCAAAAGGCAAAGGGGATGGTTTCTAGCGCGAACACACACACGCACACGCACGCACGCACACACTGCATGCACGAGACAGTAATGCATTTTCATTTATTTTATTTGTAGAACTGGGGATCAACCCAGGCTCTCATGTAATGCAAGTGTCTTTCCATGGAGCCACTTCCCAAGCCCATACTTTGTGCTTTTAAAAAGCAAGTAGGAACACAAATCTTTGCTCACGGTTAGGAATTCATGATGCTAAAATTATGCTACAGTTAACCTGCATGTGAAGAGGAAAAACGGTGTTGAATTTGCAAAACACTGCGATAGGAATAAAATGATTATCTAATAAATCCATGTATTTCAGCTCTGAATAAAATCTTTTAAACATTTTAGTATACATTGTTTAGTTTTAAAACAAGGAAAGGGAGGTTCTCAAGGTTCTAACATTTTAAATGACTCACCCTAGATCAAAGTTCCCCCTAAAATGTGTGTTTGCTTTCAGGTCATGTACTTATTTTCCAGAGTACCACCTAACTTTTAAGTAGGCATGGTATTATCCGTCAAAATTTAATGGGGGTTTGGGGAGAGGGAAGTGGAAACACCCAAGTTCGCTCTCTACCCCAGAGTCCCAGAGTCCCTATGAGGCTCCAAATAAAGTTGCGAAAGCAAAAGCTATTTTCAGTTCAATTCGCTGATCGAACAAAACAAAGGCATCACGAGTCCGCTTTTCCAACGGGGCCTGCTGATCCTCCGCCGTCGGATTCTTTGGCTCTTAGCTGGCGCCGCCTGCCAGTCAGACACCAGGGGGCGCAGTGTCCTTTGTGCTGACACAGCCCTTGAAGTCGGCCTTGAGGAAACTTGACTTTTCTTTCACCGTTTCCTCCCTGGTGTGGCCCCTCCCCAACCCTTTTCATTCATCTTAAAACCGTCCCCCCCGGCCCCCCCCCCCCGCTCCCATTCTGACGCCTCAATTCACGCATCCTACCATCTCAAGCTTGGGGGAAAAAATCTTTTAAATATCTTACTCTACTGTCTGATTTTAAGACAAGGAAAAGGAGGTTCTTACATTTCAGATTTATACACACGTTGCAGGGGTTGTTCATGCTTCTAGAAGGGCTATTCAGAATCTCCTGCCCTTCTTCAGCTGTCTCCTGCACATGGTCATGGCCGTTTATCATTTATTCTCATTTAGAGACTGCCAAATTCAGGGTGTTCTTAGTTATTCTTCCAAAAAGAAGAATCCTCAAAGTCAGGAAAGCATCATTTCACTCAACCTTTGGAATCCCTCCTTTTCCACTTCTAAAAATAATAATAAACAAATGGAATGAATGATGCCAGGAAGTTCACACAGCATCAAATCATCCTCACCCTTCATCTCCAGTCTTGGTCTGCCCCTGAACAGTAACAAGAGCCTCTGGTATAGACAGCACCCAAGGCTTCTGGATCCTTTTACCCTCACCTCTTTCCAGTCCATTAGACACACCACACTCCGTGTTCCTCTGGAGAAAGAAAAAACACATCCACTTCATATTCCCTCCACTGCCCAACACTCTTGATTGCAAAAACACAGTCTTTGGAGACCATGATTTCCCCCTAACTCTTGAATACACACCTCTAGCCCTGTCCTTAGACAACTTGCACTTAAATCGTGCCCCATAGAAATTTGACAAAAATAAGAACCCTAAAAATCCGGTGTTCATAAAGGAAGGGCCCTAGGGTACATCTGAAAGGTCACTGCTCTCTTTATATATAGAATTCAAGTATGCCCAGTCCCTTGCCCAGACCCTCATCAGGGCCTCCCTACCACACATTTGGGGAGGGAAAAGACAGGCCGAGAGACAAGCATGTAAATCATAGGCTTGAGAAGATTCCACACACACACCTGACACCCCACTCAGAGCTGGTGCAGAGGGTAGGCAGCAGAGGGGTAGTGACCTTCCCATGCAGCCTGGGGTGGGTCATAAAAGAACTGCTCGCCCCACTGCAAGGAGCCTGGAAGGCTCATGGTCTGGACTACTGGAAACCTTTGGCAGAGTGGAAGCTAGAGCAAAATGGAAAGGACAATGTATCCCCTCTAGGTTGACCCTCCCTTTTGTCTAGGGCCTTACTCGCTTCCCTCTTCTTCCCACTTAGCTAATTTAAGAGAAGCTCTCAGCCTAGAGAGAGACAGGGCCCTGGTCGGCATCCATACTGTGAACCTCCTCTCCTGCTGTCATAAAGTAATGCCAAATAGCAAATCAAGGACCCTAAATACTGACAGGACTCTCAGAGAAGGGGCAGAGAAGATTTCAACTTTCTTTTGTGGGTTTAGCATTATAATAATAATAATTACTCTTATTCTTTGAGATATTTTATTATTATTCTTTGAAATATTTTGACTTGTGCATAATTTTTTTTTAAAAAAATATGTATGGGAGCTAATGACGCTCTGAAGAATTGCTTTGTTGGTGACAAGATAAATGTCTGGCGTGGCACATGGCCTGGCATACAGTTTGTTGGAGGTTAGCACCTATCTCTCAAAACTGAGCTAGTGAATGACAGATCCAAACACCCAAAGTCCATGCACACATGGCTCTGAGCTCCCTGTCTGCCCCAGTATAAATCAAGCTCCTTCTCTGTGCCTCAGTTTCCTCAAGTGTGAAACTGTCAGATCCGGGCCATTTGGGGAAATGGTGGAAAAGAAAAAGCAGTGTCAAATACCAACTGTGCCCAAGGCCAATTCGGATATCCTCCCCCAGTCCTTAGAGAGCAAGCCTTTTGTCAGTCAGAAACTTTTCCAAGAAGACTTCATCTAGGTAGGGTAAGTGGAAAGGGTAGGAGAGCCAAACAGTTTCAGAGATAATTCAGAAATTTCACGAGAAACCATCAGCAGCTAAGGCTAATAATAAGCAGATAAGAAAAGGACGTCTGGACTTTGGGGTGCTGGGGGGGCAGTTGGAATCATGATCATTTCCTGAGAGGAGATGCCCTGGATGGTAGAATGGGATCTTTCAGAGCAGAGTCCCCTGGTCGGGACTGCTGCTGCCCTGGAGTGAGTGTGGTGGGAGAGGATTTTGAGACACTGATACTTCTCTAAAGGGCACCGAGCTATCCTTGGGGAACCCAAAGCCTCCCGGGAGCAGGTCCAGAAGCAAACTTGCCCTCGCTATTCAAATCCAAAGGGTGGCACTGCCCAGCAGAATTGGACTGAAACAAAGCTGCTTCTTCCAGCATTCACTTTATCTGACCCACAGCATCCAAAGTGGAGAGACTGGGCCACAAACGCTGCAGAGGCTTAGATTCTTGGAGCCACTGCATGGGGGAGAACTGTACTGGACAGCTCGGGCTCCCAGGATCAGAAAGAGGTGTGTTCCTGGAAGCCACAGCGATTCACTTCCCCAGACTGTTCAGAACGCAAGTTTTTTATTTTCCCTTTACAGTGTCTTTTGCCGTCCCTTTGCCTTTGAGGCCAAGAGGCAGGTAATCGGGCGGATAAGAAGGTTACGACTTTTCCCTCGCCCTGCAGTCTCCGTCCTATTTAAAGCTGCACCGCCTGTTGTAGCAGCGCGGTGCCAATATTTGCAGGCAGGAAGATTTTCTGACTTTGTCAGGGAGTCGTTCAGAGCAGATGGGAGGCCCTTTCCCAAGGCCATCCGTCAGGACAGAAATCGCTTTCCCCGGAGCCTGGAGCAATCACTAAGTCCATGGTCAACAGTCAGAAGGTATCAACCCATTGATGTTTGGAAAAGAACAGGGCTTTTTTCTTTGGGTCGGGACAGAATTATCTGACCACCCTCGTGAAGACATCTCCCCCGCAAAGCCCGTGCTGTCATTGCCTAAAGCGGAGGCAGCGTTGGCTTTTCCGGACGAATCTGGAATAACGGTATCAGCGTGTACCTCCACCTGAGAGACCCCTCCTTCTTTTTTTACGAGGCCTAAGGCAGGGAGCAAACGGGGGATGGAGGAAGGCAGGTAGCGACGGTACTGCCGGATTCTCACAGGCAAACACCAATGAGATTATAAAACAACAAACCCAGTTCCAACCCTCTTATTCTGACAAAACCTGTGTGCTGCGAACTTCTCTATGTTTAGAGCGATGCCCTCCTCGGTACTTTCCAGACCACTTTCCAAGGCAGCCCGGAACGTCCGACCACGTGTTTAAAATGCCTCTTGCTTGCTTTTTCCGCGTAGTCCTTTTCTGAGGCGGTTTGTATCTCTAATAAGCAGCATTGTTTATTTTGCTTGGGTAAGTGCCCCTGGGACTGAACTGAAATAAAACAGGAGCACCGAGGCTGAGCGCTGGAAAACGCGCCGGGTTTCCCAGGCCCCGGAGGCTCCCCGGAGCAGAGGCGCGGCCCCACGGGAAAGGAGCCCCGGGTTGCGGGCAACTTTGCAAGAGTTGGGGTGTTTTGTTTTCCACCCACCGGGCGCCCGAAGGTACGGGGCAACCCGAGGGCGAGGAGACTGGGCAGAGCAACAAGGCACTGCGGGAAGGGAAAAGCCACTGCGGAGTGGGACTGGGGTTGTGTGACAGAAGAGCCGACAAGGTGGCTCTTGCCAGGTTCATCAAAAGGGGTTGTGGCGCCCGAGCCTTCGGAACCGCCTTTCAGCTCCAACTCCCAACTCTCAGCCCCTGCAATAAATTCTCAGTTAAATGCTCCATCATCCGCGGAGCCCCGGGTCCTCACTGTCAGAAAGGAGCATCTCACTCTGGACCTGCCTTCCCGCCCCCTCTCCTGCCCTACAGTTGTCTAATACCTGTCCCCATTTCGATTTCCACGGGGGGCTTGGTGAGCGCGGGCAGTGGAAGGGCACTCCCTGAGAAATAAGACGCCGCCGTACCCCCAGTTGCAGAAACTTCGAGTTCCTCCCAATTCCCGCGCCACTTTTGGACTCCAAACGGGCCGGGTGCTTGGAGCCTTTCCCCAATTGCACTGCTTCCCAAACCGAGGGGGACTCGCTCTCCCAAAGCAGAAACCCGCATCGGAGATAACACGCAAAGTTGCCTTCCTCCTCCGAAGGAAACGTTCCAGGTTTAGACGCATCTGAGCCCCCACACCCCTCCTCACCCCCCAGTTGAATGTCAGGGCGGGCGCTGCCGGCGAGTCCGCCCGCAGAGCGTTATGAAACGCGCGCCAGCCCCGAGTCGTGCGTTTCCCAAAGGAGACTTCCAGCCTCAGGGCCCGGCACGAACTGTTCTTCTCACGGGCTCGTGGGAGAGACTCGAGCCCCCTTTCCCCTGGTCTCCGAAAATTGCCGCAACAGGCGACAGAGACGGCGCCAACGGTCCTGGGTAGCTCCGTTGCCTCGTGCAGTTAGATAAGAGTGAAAATACAGAATGTTTGCTCGCTAGAGACGCAGCGGGATCGCCCTCCGGCAACTGGTGCACAAGCTTTGAGGCACCTCTGTGGGGCCGCGCGTGTCTCCACCGAGTTTCCCCGAATTTGCAGAAGTAGGAAAGTGTGGGGTGGCCGGCAGACGTGCTGCGTGTTGGGTGTGCCGGGTGGGGCTGTGCTACGAATAAGCCGCCAAGAGGCTTTTTTGTTTCTTAAAATTAGACTTGCACCAAGGCACTAGCAAAAAAGGCACCGCTTCGTGGTTTCTGAATTTGGAGAGAATCGTGCGGAGTTTGGGCCCAGCCCAGCAGCCAGGGGCCCCGCACAACGCATGGAGGGCGCTTTCCAGTTACCCGGGAGTAAGCAGGGACGCTGGCCCCGTTAGTTGGGCACAGCCTGGCGCAGCTGACTTGGTCCTCTGCTGCGAGCTCTGCTGTCCTCCCCCTGCTCCTTCCAACCTCAGCAGCGTTCATCTCTGCCACCCCTGCGCAGGGCAAGGAGGGCCTAAGGTCACGGCGCTTGTGCTTCCCAACAGGTAGTTTCACCCAGGACCAGGCAGGGCTTAAATAGCCAAGACTGGGCCTCTCGGGCCGCGCTCACTAGGAACCCAGGGCCGGTCACCCTAGCAGCCCTGGAAGGCATGTCGCGTTTGGGGGAGACACTTTAAACAATCTTTTTTTTTTTGCCCCTGCACTCTTCAACTTCTCGGGAATGTCACATCACGAGCTATTCCGTTTGAAAAGGCGCTCAAAGACCCCCCAAATACACCGCGTCGGGCTGTAATCTCACTTCCAATTTGGTTCCCCCTTCTTCTTCTCACCCCCAGTGACTGCAGAACACTCAAATCTTTAGGGGCAAAAGGTATTTATTGGAGCATTAAGAAAGGTCCCCTTCGAAAGGCCCGAGGCACTACAGCAAAGGAGAGCAAGGCTGCGTTACATTCGCAGGATATAATTGAATTATGCCGCTCCCTGGTGCACAGTGAGGAAAAGCAGAATGCCAGGCCTGGTGTGCACCCGGGCGGCGGTGGCCTCGCGCACCAGTGGGCGCGCCAAGCTCTCTCCACAGCGCTCAGGGAGAACTTGAGTTGGGCCGATTCGACCGGGGCCCCCAGCCAGGATGCCTAGAGGGGTGGGAGCTCGAAGAAACTGGTCCGCATTACGTGACATACCCTCTCCTTATGG